AACACAACTGGCCAACGAATCTTGCCTCCTCACGATAAAAGGAAAGAAAGTTCACTGTTTGCTCAAACGAAGGCACTTACATTTGATAAGTCGCTTGTTTGAAGAGCAGCTGACCTCCGAATCCTCTCTTCCCTCTGAAGCTCCTTTTCAAAGTCGTCATGAGTAATGGCTACAAAACAGAACATTTAAAATCAGTTCTGCAGAGTGTCACAAGGCGATGGAAGGGTTATGAAAGGGATCACTGACAAACATTTATTTGTAGCCCGAGGCCAGACAGATCAGTACAGATTTAGTACTGGCATAATGCTACAAATGGATTATTGTCAGTTCTCTCTTTCAAAACAGAAGATGCCATACATTAATTATTAATACTGTAAAAGCAGCTGTAATTGAAATTTCATGGGACTGGAAACCCTGTCCGAATCAACCGAATGCCGAGTTTTCGAAAGTATCAAGAAAACACTTAGCAAATGTCTGTTTCATCAATGCACTCTCATTTTCTTGAGAAATACGTAAATCCAGGAATTAAGAGTCGCAGTTTTTGCCATTTGCAATATCGTTGCCAATGTGAACGTGGCTCAAGAGCCCGTGTCTTAAGCCGAAACATGCTCCGATTTCATACCTTATTATGAACTAGCAATGCAATTGTGGATTAATCCAAGACATCTGTTATGTCTATTCCTAATATATTCAGTATAAGGGCAGGTTTGAACAATGTTCCAAATGACGTTTCGGTGTTCTATGTCACAACGCTTTGAGATTTATATTTGATATGCGACTTATATTCATATATGGTTTACTTTTGCGACACTCTGTGATTGGCATGCTCAGAGGATTGTCTGAATGAACCGGATGGTGGCCAAATGCTCAACGATCCAAATAAGCGTAATAAACTGGGCCAACTACACCCAATGTGGTAATAAAGTAGGCCAAAAATATCTCGTTTCTGTGAGTGTAGTATAAACACAATGTATGAGACCTTACATAGTGCAGAACACTGTAGAGCCAGACTTGATTACCTACACAAAGATCACTCACACACATTACATTTTGTGTATGCAAACAGTCTGCCTATTTGTTCACAATGGTCGATATGTTGTTCACCTGATAAAATTCTGAATACCATCACGCAAGCAACACTTCTGATAAAATGTAAAAAGCAGCTATTCAATATTAGAAAATCACTTGAAAAGTATTAGCAATTGCATTTATTTGTCAAAATAATTTTTGATTTCTTTGTTCATCACAGTACCCACAGCGCCCAAGGGGGAGGGGGGAACTCAAAGTATCAATACATAACAAAAATGACAGTACATTGTGTAAACATGAAAAAGTACAGTGCACTCTATACTCAAACAAGCACGCAAAGGTGCTACTTATAGTGAAATAAAAAAACCCTCAGTTCGATTTCAATCAATATCATTCTGTGTGCTGCTGGCACTACCCGATTCACATTTAAAATTTTTATCCTTGTACGAGTCTCAAAACTAATTGAACAGAGCAGTGGTGAGAAAAAGCTGTACCATTGAATGACTCTGTTTCTTCGAGGACAGTGGAAAGTCTACCTCCTCGCCCCATGTCTGGACTTTCCTCCATTGCACATGGAGGCGAAGGTGTCCATTGGGGCAGTGGGCTAACAGCGGCCTAGGCAAGCTGCTGATGCTCCTTGGCGCTGCCCACGTCTCTCTGCGCTGTTTTCGCTTCTGCAAGAAGCAAATCGCAGCGTGCATCCAGCACATGTGAAGAACAAGTAAGGACTGGTGCACAAGTCTTTTCTCATTTACCACGCACTTTCCTGCCTGGCATGTTTTTATATTGTGTAATTTAAATGCACAATAAATACATAATGAGTAGAACAGGAAAGAATTGAGACAGAGTAGGAGTTATGGAATGTTTGTGCGAACATTTCCTTGGCCGGGGCCAGACAGCTTACATTACCGGTGTCAAACAGACAACCCGGAGACCTTTGACTATTAAAATTGTTCACTCATGACTGACCTCATCTCAAATTTTTCTAGAATTATCTACACAAGTACAATCACCAGCAGCACAGACGTCAATGATCTCAAGCAGTTTTTTCCATGACGCACCCCACACAGTAATGTTGAAAGTAGAAAAAGTAGGCTTGTGCGAATATTCGAATGCTTCAAATATTCAAACAAATAGTAAGTATTCGAATTCACTTTGATTCGAACTTAAATTATCGATATATCGAAGTATTTGACATGAACAAAATAATGTATACTAAGACTGCATGCAACTGCCTGTAAAGATGGTTTCACTGCTGTATAGGACTGCTAAGCCGTGAGAACTATAACCAGAAAAAAATTTGCTCTGCCGCGAAGCCCCACTTTAAATCTAAAGGGCCCTGCTACTTTTTTTTGAGCCTGATCGGCGAACGCTGCCGATCGGTAGTCGAGGCTACCTAAAACGCGCGAGCTAAATATTAAAGCACAGCACACGACCTGAAATTCACAATACATTCTGAAAGTCAGATAAATATTGCCTTCTCTCGGCGATTAACGCCACAATGTGCAAAATCGCTCCTCACAACCACTGTACCAGCCATTAGCCGATTAGAGCATGGGGCGCTCGGTCGTTACTGGGCTGCTGCGGGTGGCCAAAACATGTCCATGCGTACATGCGTGATCGCACTGAAAAGGGCGTATTCAAAAGAAAAAAAAGAGAAAAAGAGTGCTCAAGGTAATGACCCGCATGTGACGTATTTTCTTTCCCTATGCCATTTCTCCCGGCTTGCTTTAGGCGCTTTCGTTGGAACAAGAGAGAGAGAACGCAATTGCAGCACGTGGAAAATCTTTGCGACACCACTCATACTGAACAAATTCTAAAACTTTTTGTGATGGTTAATTCATAAGGCAAAGAGCTTCTTTAGTGAATCCATTACATGGCTACTTGAAAGACCTGTTGCAGGGCCTCTTTAAATGAACCTATTATCTTCAAATCTATGATAACTTTTTAAGCTTAAAAACCTTGTTTTTGCCAGCTTATACACTAACTGTACAATAACGTTACATATTTACAGGTTATCACTTGCAATCCTATTGAAAGTCAATCCTGCTACTTCACAAAGTTGTTTAGACTGTCTTTGAATAATAAAAAAAAGCTCTTGCATAAAGGTCTTGTTTCTAAAAAAAATATTGTACACGTTAGTTAGTCTTGATAAATATGCCCATTTTTCTTTACACGCATATATTCTATCCAAGTTCAATTTAAAATTATTCTACAAAAATCACTACTCGCTTTGAACTTGAATACACTGTTTGCACAAGCCTAGAAATAAGATTCTATATTTTAGAATTGGCACCCACATTTCAGTCATTCTGGCAATCAGTACAGATTAGGGTTGTGTAAATTAGGGTTGTGTGGACTGTAGGTTCGAAGCGATGAGCGATTTTGGACGAATAATTTCGAACCAAATTGAAAAATAATAGAATCTCGATGATACGATTACAACTGTTGCAGTTTCACAGTGATGCAAATTTTAAGGTCGTTTTGTACAGACTACACTATATAAATTATGCCGTGAATCGATGTTATCGAATGGTTTCCCCAGCCACCGCAGATGATACGAATGTGTGATGGACCACTGCACGCCAATAGCGCAACACGGCTTGTCTGTGCGAGGAAGGCATGTTCACTCTTGGCCTCGAAGAGAGTGAATACGGCAAAACTTGCTGGAATTTTCCTAGCTTTAGTGACGGAAGAACACACCGCCAAAAAATCGGCCCGAGACCAATTTTCCCGCCACACAGATAGCATATTTTTTGCTTCACGGCTTTGGCTATACTGTCTGCTCTAGCTCTCAAAAAAAGTGATGTAAACCATAGAAAACTAGATGTAACCAACCAGCGCTAATTCAACATGGCAGCAAAGGCGCCGGCGATTGGATCGCGTTGCCATCATCCCAAACTACCCGTGCAGCACATCAAAGGCTCACGGCCTTGACAAGGATGCCGTTCACACAAGAGCCTGGTTAGGGATTACGACCGTGAAGTGCACCGGAAGTAAAGAAGGTGCTGCAGCAGCGAGTCTGCATGCCCTAACGCGTTCTCAGTTACTTTTTTTTGCCCTGCTGGCTGAATCCACCGCCGCCGCTGCGTCCGCTCGTTTTGTTTCTGCTGGGTGCATCTTCCGAAACAACGGTTGTAAAGGTGTAAACTGTTTCCTATCAGTTCTATTGCATGCATAACCAGAACATGTATCAACATAAATGCTCAAAAAACAGCAGAATGGCATGAATTCTCAAGCGGGATGGCATACGTACGAGGGGCAGAACTAGTGTGTTTCTACGGGCCCGGACGTGGTTTTCCGGCAGCTATGGTGTTTTTCACTTGAATTCTCCAGTGTAAATACTCCAAAACTGATATTCTTCGTGGCACGGTTTTTCGGCCACTTAAACGACGAAGAGAGTGCATTTGCAATAAGTTTGTCGCCTTTACTCCCTTTGATGTCAAGTGTGAACGCGCCGCGCCAGCAGCATCAGTGAGCAAACCGTGACATTAACCGTGACACATTATTGAGAGATTTTGAAGGCAGAAAAGTTCCAAAGAACATTATGGGCTTCTTTCAGCAAGAAGGATTTGCCAATAAGACTCTAGTTCATCTTCAATATCAGCTTTAAGTCGTTTCTGGTTCATACGAATTTGGGATGACATGCATATTTTGCGTGCACCCTACGAATTCTATCATCGAGATTCTACTGTAGCACAGTAGACTCTCAGTAAACGGAAATCTGTTAAACGGAACTACTGCCGAAATGGAACAGATGCCTCCAGCAGGATTGGTTTGATACTTGTATTCTGCACCCTTGTTCATGTCTCAGTAAATGAAGCTCTTGCTAAATCCAACACATTTTCCTGTTCCCTTCAGGTTCTGTTTAATGAAGGTCTACCGAATATTATCACATATCAAAAAAAAATTGGCATAGTACTTGTCTTGACCCAACAAACCCTCACAGTAAGAAACAACAGAGTAAAAGAGCTTGCCTGTGGAAGGGTGGAGACGAGCAGTTTATTCTCCAGCGACAAAACCTTGCTCTTGAGCTCGTCGATCTGGGTGTTCTTTTCCTCAAGAGCCTTCGTCAGATGTGTCTCTTCCATGACCTGCATGTAAAATAAGTAAAGCCCCATCCTCCTTGGAAGGAAAAAAAAATGGTTGCGCACAAGCCACACGAAGACACAGAATATAGGAACAAGCGCAACACGGTTGTGCTTGTCCTTGTACTCTGCGTCTATGTGTAGTCTGTAAGCAACCATCCTTCTCTTCGAAGTATGAAGCGACTCGCCCAGCCGCAAGGCTTATTGAATTCTTCTCTTTACTGTACAAAAGAAGAGAATATGTAGAGCACAGCCTGAAGTATTATGGCATGCACTCGTGCCACTTGGAAAAGCCTTGCACGTCCCTTGCAACACGTAGAGCCTCATTACAATTAACTAAGATATGGAAGAAATTTTCCCTGGATGCTTCAGTCTTGCTATACCAGCGAGACAGGATCTCAAATATTGCAGTCTTAAAGAAATGCTTCAACGACTTAGTTTCGGGGAAGATATATTTGCACACGTATACAGCTTTCTTCGGTTAACCCGTGTAACTGACATAAATACTGCAAGCATCTATGTGATAGTGTTCAAGCTGAGAAGAACTTGTTGCTGGCCGAGTTGGTGCATGTCAACACAAAAGGGATAACTGCACTACACATGTAGCGCAGTTATCCTTTTTGTGGTAGCTCAGTTGGTAGAGCATCGGACGCGCTATTCGAAGTTCGCAGGTTCAGTCCCTGCCCACGGCAAGTTGTCTTTTCATACACTTTTCTTTCTTCACATTTATATTATAATACTTCATATAACATCCCTTATACTTTCTTGGCATGATTGTCTGTTAGATCTCATTAAAAGTGTATCTACCAAAGAAAACGAGCCCTTCAATGTACGCTTTTCTACATGTATAAACTAGACACATACACAAGCGCAGTGTATGTGCCTGTGTATGAGTGTCTGGTTTATACATGCGTAGCAGACTTATCCCTTCTGTGTTTAAGCTGAGCCTTGTTCGCACAAACATCAACTACAGAAATGTATACTCAGCTGCCGATAGAAACATATAGTATATTTAGGAAACATAGTATATAAGCAGTGCTAGAGTACTGAATAGAGAGTTTTCTAATGACTACAGCTTGAAGAATTTAGGTGAAAGATACACTTAAAGGTCTGATTGATATCTGGGGTTTTATGTCCCAAAACCACTACTTATTATCAGAGACGCTGTAGTGAAAGGGCTCCGAATATTTCAGCCAGCTGATGCACCCAAATCTAAAAACACAGGCTTACAGCATTTTCACCTACATCTTATCGAATTATTCACGTCATTCCAGTGTCACATCCATGAAGAGCACCTAAACCTGCCTGATCTTTCATTTCGCCACAAATTGTCTCACCTTCACCTTTTTCACAAAATCTATCATTATAACAGCCATTTGAAGGACACCCTCTTTCATCCACCTCGATTCATATCAGCAAGCACCCACCATTGCTTTAAGGTTGGCTTACCCTCCTGTCGCACGAGACTAAGACGATTCATTTGTGCCAAGGACAAGCACTGCCTGGAACCAACTTCCCGCCTTCATCGCCTGTATAACAGACCTAAAGGACTTCAAGCTCGCCTTACATGATGCCCTGTAAATATTTTTCCAGTTTTTTGTTTCTTTCTTTTTTAAGTTTTTTAAAACTGCACTTCCGATTGTTTACACCACTCTTTTCTGTGCCTTCGGGCCTTGAAAGTACGATTAATAAATAAAATAAATGCCCCCCCCCCCCCCTTAACAGCTGCTACGACCCTTCTAAGCAAAAACAGATATGTATTATGTATTAATGCCTATATATATATATATATATATATATATATATATATATATATCCCTTCCCACAAATGTCACCCCCACACTTCAGATATACTTCCGGATCCCCTGCGGACTATGGCAGATTTATACGGCCCAGAAATGCAAGGTGTAAAAATTTAGTTAAATAAGGGTGAGCTAACTCAAAATGCTCAAGCTTACTTAAAGTGCTCTCAAATTTGCAGGCATTTACCGCTGACCGCCTTATAGACTGGTGGAGCATTGCATGGTGCATTACAGCAAGAGAGTAACCCAGAAGCGAGTGTGGGGCCTATACTTACCGATAAGGATATAGTATTAGGAGGCAATGTTGTCAATGTAGCTTGCACAAGGAAAATTCTTAAAGGCCTCCTACTTACCTAATCAAAATGCATCCACAACACTGCAGTAGCAGGTTTCTGCGATGGAGGTCCTTGGTTCAGTTCTCGTGCAATGATCAGCATTAAATGTTTTTCGTTGTTACTTGTTTTTACTTTTCATTTTTCAATTACGACTGCTTCATTTTTCAGTTTTTTTTTATACAATGTAAGCAGTGATACAACAACCGATGCACACTTTTCCTGTGTGTTCTGTTTCTGATATCGCTTCCAAAGCCAAATCATTAATATGTTTTGGTTACTAATACGGTGAATTTACCATAGCATTCAAGACAGATAATATGGTTATACGTAGACCACGGCAGCGTTTTAATTTGAGGCATGGCATTAATCATACTAACTGAACAACACAAAAAAAAGAAGTGATACAAATATACCTTCACTTGATCCTTGAGCTCTTGAATTTGCATATGATAGCGGCGGATCAGAGCCTCGTTGTGAGAATCTCGTTCACCGTTGGAGTGTTTTGTATTTTCTTTGCAGAGCTTGCAAACTGAAAAATGCAGAAACCTCAATATCAATCGAAGGCAGCAAAAAGGACATGCGATCCCAGATAAATTATAGGGGCATACATATTCATACTAGGAGCAATTGAATGTTATCACTGTATTTACAACAAAGTATGGAAAACAATTAGCCATATTACAGTAAAACCTTGTTAACCCAGATGTCACGTGACGGTGAAATGTAGAGATAACCAAATTGGGATTATTGAATGGACCATGCAAACAAAAGGAAAATGAGTGCTCTTCACAGACAACCTTTATTTCATGAAAACCTTATTTGTGTCTACCTTGTCGCCAGAATTTGTGCTACAATGATCTTCGACTCCACCAGGTGGTGCAGCACACGCTAGCTGTCACGAAAACCAAAGATAGTGTGAGCTTCGGCGGCTTTCTGCACAGTGCAATGTCACGTAATGCAAACCGTCTCGTCATCCATGCTTTTTAGTAGACACAAGATGCACTGATGGCCCAAGTGCTTCCGCCAGGTGAAGACTAGCGCTACCGAGCCACTTCTTCCTCATTCACTATCATCATGATCACACTCTGCCGCAGTTGTTCATTTGGTTCCAGTCTCTCTAAAACTACGGTTTGCGTCGGTTGCGGCAAGCAGTGCTTGAGCCTCCAAACTGCTTGGATTGCGCGACTCTCACAGTTACGGAGTCTTGATGGTACCTTTGGAGTTGCCCAAGTTGACCGCTGTGCAGTGAATACCTCTGAATTAATGAGCATTGACACGATGGAAGTATACACAGTTTTGCCCAGAGCTACGCTGCGAGTCAGGCTTACCCAATTTTCAGACTTAACGCGATCAGGGATAAACAAGGGTTTCTGTTATACGTGTTGCTGTTTAGTTGATTCATGCATAGAGAAGGATGCAATCTATGACA